TTGTTCAACGAAGCTGTCCGAAAATTTCACTAAATTTTCTCTGTGCTGCCGATAAATATCAGTGACATTTTCAAACGGATTCAACCAACAACCTCTCTGTAAAAAAATAAAATGGCGGCGGAAATTTTTAAACGTCGCATGGCGTTTGTGACATTTTGGCCGGAAGATGACGATTGAATGGGTCAGCAGCGCTGGTCACAGAATCGCGTTTTGGCTGTTCATTCAACAACCAAAACGCGATTTACCAAATCCAGGGCCGGATTTACCAAATAGGCGCATTAAGCGCGCGCCTAAGGGCCACCATCACAAAGCTTTTTACCTCCTCAACCTAAACGTTTTAATTTTTTTTCTGACCTCAGGATTCTCCGTATAGTCCTTCGTACGCTTTTAGTTGAGTCAATAGAGGACCCTCTTCATTTAGTTCCCACAAGAACCCCAATAAGGCAGATTCTTTTTAAAAAGATCATGACTGGTTTTCTAAGCACTCAAATACTGCCATTCTTAGGCTCAGGAAGGGAGCCGTATAATCCTTCAGATGTTGCCAAATTACCCTCGAAAAAATATGAATTTACTATGAAAATTTGTTGATATTTTTCTTCCAATTTTTTAGACAGTTTTTTTCGGAATTTAATCTGAAATATTTGAAAATTTCGAGGAAAAACATGCATAACTTTCCCTTAAAAAGCATATTTTAGGTGAGGGCAACTCTTGAATGTTCATACGGCGTTCTTCCTTAGCACGGCAGAATATTGCATATTTAGCATTTCGCGAATGCGGAAGACATTCCATGATATGCACGGAGCAGGTTTTTGAATCGGAAGTGATATTTGTTGGAAATCAGCAAACGGTGTGGTTTGATACTAGCACGCGGCAACTCAACATTGATGCGATTCAGACAAGCTGAGGCAATACGCTAGGCCTCAGATCGAATCTGCCCTCATAAATCATGAGGGAGTCACTTAAAAACCCACTCGTCTCTGTTAGGTGTAGTATTTTCTCTAGAGCGCCGATTTCGACGAGAGTGAATCTTGAAGAGAAATACCTTGAAATGTTCATAGAATATTCTTCATCTTCACGTAGAAAAGAAAAATCACCGAAGTTTTCAAGTAATGGCAATCAGTAGTTTTCGATGAAGAAAATTAAATACGACTGGAAGTTTGCAGCGTCGCAAATGGATATACGTGGTTTCGCTTTATAGCAGTCAATACTATTTTTAACCGGGCACCCAACCATGCCCATACGTATTCCTTACATTCCTCCGAAAACTAAATGGACGTATTTCTGTCAAACGGAACTAAGCGCCATCGAGGTATCGAGGAGGAAGGTAGAGGGGGGCTTGGATTGGCGCGGAACCGGGCGTCGGACCCATTCCGTCCTATACTCGCAATGCTTTTCCGTGGCGCTTAGTTCCGTTTGACAGAACGCGCAATCCGGGATTCAAAAATTCCTCAAAAGGAACTCAAATTGGCGCTTAGTTCCGTTTGACAGAAATACGTCCAAATGAGCTCACGTACGATCTTTAAGAAAATGTCCATTTGTAGGTGAATCGCACGCAGCTATTCTGCCGTGCTAAGGAAAAACGCCGTATGAACATTCGAGAGTTGCCAAATTTCCTTCGATAAAATATTTATCTTTGAAGAAAGCTTTGGATGTTTTTCCTTGGAATTTTTAAGAAATTTTGGTAAAATTGCGAACAAAATTATCTGAAATTATTTGGAGGAAAAACGTTTACAAACAGTGTTCGAAACTCACCTCTGAGTTTTAGGAGCCAAATGGCGCATCCAGCCCAATTTTTAGGCGCCATTGAAGATTTTTTAGGGGCCAAATTGACTTTTTGCCCATATATTACGGTGCATATAGTGGAAAGTTAGATGCAAGATTTTTTCGCAACTGAACTAGTAAGTAGCTGTAACTTGGGGAAGACAAAAGCGGAAAGGATGAAATCGTAAAGAATAGAAAAACCTTTCACTTGTAGTGTTGAAAATTTCGAATAATCACCTGATATGAAAATTCAGATTTTTAAGGGGCAATTTTTAGGGGTCATGTTGGCGCAGAGCCTTCATTTTTTAGGCACCATGACCGATTTTGTCGGCGCATTTGGCGCGGTGGCGCCTGTGAGTTTCGAACACTGTTTACAAATTTTCCCGAAATTTCTTGATTTATCGTAGGAAATTTGGTAACGCCTAAACGCTCATACGGCGCTTTTCTTTAGCACGGCAGTATCGTCCTTGCGAGTTGTGTGTCCCATTCAAAACCGAAGTTAAATGTCTTTTAACGAGTCAAAGTTCACATCAAGCCTCGCCATCATGATGATTGTCCGGATGACTCTCGCTACAAGCTGTAACGAACAATAAAGCGGGCTTTACTGCCATCGTTTAAAATTTTACTTTTCCGGCCAGAAGTTGGGACCTACAAGAGAATTCAATTATCCTCTCTGCCTCGCAATATCATCTCCCTCGCGACGCCGGAAAGTTTCAAAGTTTTCCCGCCAACTGCAACAGTAGACTCCCTTGGAGGGGCTTTATGGATGTTTAACCTCTTTTTGACGACACCGCTCGGCAGAAAACTCATACTTGTAATTGAGTTTCCAGCGCAGTTATGCTGTTCTTCGGTTCGCAGCCGCCAGCATCGGCCGTTTCGATCGAGCGAGGATTCTTGCTGAAGAATCCATTGATGAATACTCTTGTTAAATTGCCGCCAGGAGTGGAAGTCGCGGATTCAAAGGTTTTCGTTTCAAACTTTCTGGAAGAGATTCCCCGATGTTTCAATTTGTCTTTCGATCTGTACTTTTAGCGAGATAAATGAGCCGAACATTAATTGGATGGCGTCAAGACAACCAGACTGGTTGTCTTGACGCATTGCCTTCAGCGAAGAGGAACCAAGTTTTTTGGATAACGAGGCGTCTCTTTTTATAGTATTTTCTAAGAATTTCCGTTTATTTCTTCTGAAGAAGAATTGGAGTTTTAAATGTTAATTTTAGTGAACTGTAGGAGCTTGTGAGGGGTCGATTGTTCAAGTCAATTTTGCAACCATGTAATGGACTTGCGCTCCTTCTCGTCTGGAATATGTCGTCGCTTGGCAGACATAAGGACGTATCTGCTTATTGAGATGAGCTCGGGAAAGCATTGAATTGTATGGACGACAGGGCTTATTGCTGATTGTGGTTACGCCCTTACGTCAGGAAGGCGACGATGTGATCAATTACATGTTAGCTTCCATCCATGTTCTGTAAAATCATTCGTCTTTTTAACCTGAGTTTTTCTCTGAAGCATTCGGATCGCCTTTGCCAAGGAGAACCATCGTGATTACAGTGTTGTAAAAATGTTGCCTCTTCATAATTATCTAAACAAATCTCGTAGAATACCTAGCAAAAGGTTTTTTCTCCCCACTAAAAAATTGTTAATTTTAATGAAAAATAATTGTGTCAATTTGAATACTGTGCCTGTATTATGTAGATTGCATTTTGTGACAAGGCATCAAGGTCATTCCAATGTTGCTAGATTGTGCAACTTACATTCTTTGCAATAAACTTACTGAAATAATGCAAATAATCAAATTTGCGATGGTAATTTTCGTCTCGAAATTAATGTTCTATTCAGAGTCAAGATAAAACTTGTTTAGATGCTCGGTTAATATTTGCAAGGCAAAGAAAGTTGTACAATCTTAGCGACACTGGAAATGATCTTGGTTCCTTTTTGCAAAATATAATCAACATATCTTTAAAAGAAAAGAAGAAGTTGTATACAGTTTTGGAAACACCGTAATCGCGCTGGTTCCTTTTTGCCTAAAACGATCCAATCTTAAACGATTCCTGCACGTTTCAAACTTCTGCAGACGCCGTTGAGGATGGCAACTCTTGCCGTAACCTCCTCCTCGTTTTCCGTGAATATTTTCCCTTGCTCCTCGGGGATGTGAATGATTTGTTTAGACGGAGCAACTCGGAGAGACGATAAATAAAATATTTAGTCGGGGGAAGTTGAGTTTAAGGGAATATGTTTAGGATGCAAGGATATGAAGCCTTCCGGCTCCTCCGCGCGGTAAAGAAACAAGACGGAAAGAAAAACATCGAGGAACCAAAAATCGTCGTTTTCCTCACGAAAGGACGTAACTACATTTCAATGTTGCCAAATTTCATTTCGTAAATTGCATTTTAACCAGAAAAGCATTGGGCATTTCTAACTGAAAATTTCACTGATTTTTCTTCCGATTTCGTGCAAAAGTCAGACAAATTTGGATATAAATTGCACACTTACATTTTTGTAAAATAAATTAATTGTTGGAGTCAGTTTGGCAACCTTGGATTGGAGTTACGTTCCTTCGTGCGGGAGACGACGAAATGTTTCGCGGAGAACTACACGCTAACGCGACACACCGGCGATTTTGTAGTTGAGTTGGTTCGCTGGTTGGCTCGCAGTTTAGTTGGGCTACATTTTGTAACAAAGATAAAAGACGGAAAGAATAACCTCTATTTTCTGAGAGAAAATACTTAAGGTGATTTGATGGACGCCATATTTTGTGTCAGAACGACATGCGATGTATCGCATCGATTGGTTCCAATCTATAAAGACTAAAACTAAAAAAATGAATCCATCAAGAGTTTGTAATAATAATAAATACAATTTGGTGAGACAATTTTTTGTCTTCGCACCAATGACTGAATTTTGAGCTTTGGGAACCAAGGTTCCTCTACCCGTGGATAATCATCTTCTTGTGCGTGGTGCTTTGCGATGTATCGATTGATCTGCCATTTAAATGCAATAGAGAAGGATCGATCAACAGGCTGTTCGCACCTAACACCATAATAATCGATTCTTCACCATAGTTTTAAATGGGGAACTATCGATAATCGATCATTCACACCTCGCCTGTAACGTTCATACAAGAAAGGCTTCTTTATAAAAATGCAATGAAAATAAAACGCCAATCTTTTTCTTATACTTTTTTGTTTAAATTTATCAAATTTACCTCTTGTCTCATCCCGGCTTTTACCTTGTTTGCAGGATGCAAAGACTTGTGATGCGGCTAATTTTATTGGCTGCGTTCTTGTCTGCCGCTTCTCTTCTCATCCTGGGCCGCTGTGGGTTACAAGAACATGAGCATAAATCAATCTTCAATACAGCTACAGCAGGTAAACGCAGTTTAATCGAAATACCATTTTTTAAATCATATAGGTGACCAAACACTTCAGTGTCCGCTAGTTCTAAAACAAGAGCGTATAATGCTGTGCTAAAGGAAGAACGCCGTATGAGCGTCCGAGAGTTGCCGAATTTCCCCAAATAAAACCTGTATTTTTTAGGACAGTTATGCATATTTCCCCCGGAAATGTTCAGATATTTTGGATAAAATTGAGAGCAAAATTGTCTAAAAATTTTGAGGAAAAATATTCACGATTTTTCCGGTAAATTACATCTTTATCGTAGGAAATATGGCAACGTTTGAAACCTCATACTGCGTTTTTCCTTAGCATGGCAGTATAGTGAGCGTCATTGAACTTTATTTTGATGAGAGCAGGTTGTTTTAATGCTGGATTATGCGGGAGAGTTTGGCAACAGAGCCAATCGACTCAAAATATATTGTTTTGAGTTTGATTGTTTGTTGTTGCAACATCTTCTCTGCGTTTTCATTGATATAGCATCAGACGTAAAAGCTTCAAGCCTCAAGGGAGGAACATTCACTTCTCATCTCTTTGGCTGGACTTTATTGCGCTGGTGCACTCATCCCAATGGACCTGATGCTTACTGTAGATAAAATACTGATTGTTCTTTATAGATAACTAGGGGGCTACGCCCCCTGGCCGCTACGCGGCCCAACCCCCTGAAGGCGCTCTGCGCCATCAATGGGCCGCTTCGCGGCCCTATTTTTACCCTCCTATCAGTGTTAGTTTTATTTTTCCCCTAAAAAAATAACGATATGAGGTATACTTTAATTTTAAACTTTACTTAAAATTACTTTAAAATTAAAAGGACGCGCTTTGGAATGACTGATTGATGAAATATTGCAGTAAAACAATGAACAATGATAGTCAGGTAATAATTAAAATTCATGAGTCGGGAATCGATCCCACATTGAATTCATTAAGAACGCACTCGACGTCCTAGACGACTCGGCCACCGGTATACAGGAGTATTACGGCGCGAATTTTGTGCAGATAAGTGTAGAGCTGATGCGCAGGCTACACAGCTACTGCGCAACCTCCTTGACCACTGCGCATCCTCCCGCGCATAGCGGTAGCAGCACCGGAGCATTCTGTAAACTCACTCACTTTTATTACGTGATTTTAAAAAAACCTGGGTCCTTTTTCCAAAATCTGATTAGAGCGGGCTCATCTAGGGCTTATTACCTGTCGATTTACGCAAAAATCATGGAAATCGGCCCGGTAGAACGCTCAAACGAACTATGACAAAAAGTATAAATTTACATTGTTTAAATGGGAGAATTCGCAACTTTACCACGTAATATAAAAGAACCTGGTTCATATTTTGAAAATCTGAAAAGAGTTGGCTAATCTAGAGACAATTGCCCGTCGATTGCCGCAAAAATCATGAAAATCGGCCCGGTAGAAGGCTGGAACTAAGCGTCACCAGTTACGCAAAATTAGGAGGTCTTGGAGCTTATAGTATAGATGGGTACAAAATCGCATTGAGCGCACTAGCCAAGTCTAATATACATTCCTTACCTTACAATCTGCGCATTCCTGATGACATTTCCGCTTCAAGTAGTACACTGCGGCGCACAGTGGATCGAGTCATTGAGAGAGGTCGGACAATATTTGGAAACTTTACGAGCTTTTAACTTCGTTTCTACGAAACATTAAGGTTTTGAAAAGGGTTCCACCGGTTTTCTTGTGAAATTTTCTTCTAGGGAGGAGCCCTTATTATTCAAAATGTGATGAAATAAACATCAAAATTTACAGTTTTAGTCAAAAAGTTCATGTCCGACCTTTCTGATTGACTCGATCCACTGTGCGGCGAAGGTGGATGAGACATTAAGCGCAAATGACTCTTCTCTGCCTTACAATTCCACTCCGAACTAAAATTTATTGGCCCTCATCATCGGATACAGTTTCTGCATCATAAACAAATAATGTTTATGCCGTTGTATATGTACATACTATCTCAAACAAGCAGCTCATAAACGCGCTTTCTCACCTAAACCTTTTTATAACCTCCTTGTTAAATGAACCATAAATTACATAACTGATGGATAGGTACACCTAAACGTACTCTTCGGGTGTGCGAATTGCATCCACAAAAATTGAAGGCACTCCGTCCTTTCTCCATTCGTATCTCGTTGCACTAATCGATTCTTACAATTAAACTTTGCACTCATCGTGATTTTGAGCCTTTTTCCTTTCGAAAGAACTCATGTTTTTGATCCAGCCAAAGTTTGCACAGACGAATTAAAAAATTACCTTCGTTTCATGAATTTCTTTTCCTTAATAAAATACGAATTTATAAAGAAATTTGTGAACAGTTTTCTATAAAAATTGTTTGGATAATTTTTTTAACAAGTCAATCTAAAATACTTGAAAATTTCAAGGAAAAATATACATAACTTTCTTCCAAAATAAATGGTTTAGGCTAAATTTGGCAACATGTTCATACGGCGCACAGTAGATTGAGTCAATTAGGGAGGTCGGACATGGAATTTTTGACTAAACCTGCAAATTTTGATGTTTATTTCGTTGACTTTCAAATTCTGAGGGGTATGCTACTAGGAGAAAATTCCTTGAGGAAACCAGTGGAACCACTTTTAGACCTTCAAAGTTTTGTATAAACGGAGTTATGAGTTTTTAAAGTTTCCAAACTTTGTTCGACCTATTCTTATTGACTCGATCCACCGTGCGGCGTTTTCCTTAGCACGGCAGTAATCTGCCGAAGAAGAACCTTGTATGAGAAGTATGAGCCTTCAGACGTTGCCAAGTTTCCTCCGATAAAAACCGAATTTACTAGGAAAATTGTGAATATTATTTTTCAAAATTTTCAGACCATTTTGTACGCAATCTAATCTAAAATATCTGAAAATGTCAAAAGAACTTGTGCACGAATGTCTTCAAAAATACGTGTTTTATCACGGGAAATTTGGCAACTCTCGAATGTTTTTACGGCTTTTTTCCTTAGCAAGCCAGTAATGTTCCCAGGTGCGCGGCGGCGGTAAGTCGCGCAACCGAGGACGCGAACACAGGGGCGCAGTTTATGACGGGCAAAACACGGTTTGTATTCATGACTGTCTTCCTCGTCATAAAGCTGATGAAGACAGGAACGTGTTCCCCGTCAAATCCCACCCTCATCCCTTGTTTTATCTACATTGCCACCTTCACCAAGGGTTACGCCAGCGCGCTCTCTCCTCCGGTCTCATGTAAATTTCCTTGTTGTGTTTTTCCTGGAACTCGTCTTTGCGTCTCTTTGGCGCCCATGGCGAATAATTTCGCCAGACATCGTATCAAGCTTCCTCAGTCGGAGGAGCGTAGCTCAATTTTAAAGTTGAAACATTTCCCCTTGGTGATTCTTTTTTTTTTTTCACAAATATGACCGAGTAATTTTTGTCGCTACGATTTCGATTAATTGTGCCTGTGATCTATGCTGCTGTCTGAGGAAAAACGCCGTATAACTGGCATAATACAGACTGCGTCAAATCAGAAAGGAACGAAGCCACATCAGCTATTCCCATTTCATCGGGCAAATTAATTTTTCACATGAAAACGGTTGTACGAATTTTTGTGCAAATTTTAGTGAATTTTCTGCATATTCCGAGGCAAATTCCTTGACATTTTAAAAAAGAATCCGCACAAACTTTCTCTTGTAAAAAATTAGATTGTCTAGTTAGATTTGGCAATAGCTGGTGTGGCTTATAGTTCCTTTCTCCTTAACGCGATCCATTTATAGCATGATCTCAACAAGGCGCCAATATGCTCGATTTCAACAGGGCGGCGAAGAGATACAATCTGCCGTGCTAAAGAAGAACACCGTATGAACATTCAAGAGTTGCCAAATTTCCCTTCCTAAAACAAGTATTTTTGACGATATTCATGCACATTTTTAAGAAAAAAATGTCAGATTTTTCAGGTTAAATTGCGTACGAAATTGTCTAAAAATGTTGGAAAAAAAATTTCACACTTTTCCCAGTGAATTCGGTTTTATCGAAGGAAATTTGGCAACGTCTGAAAGATCTAACTGCGTTTTTCTTTAGCGTGGCAGTATGCTGCTGTGCTGAGGATAAACGCCGTATGAACCTTCAAACGTTGCCATATTTTCTTTAATAAAAATGTAATTTACCGGGAACATTTTGAATATTTCCCCTCAACATTTTCAGACAATATTGCTCGCAATTTTATCCAGAGTATCTAAAAGTTTCCAGGAAAACATGCATAAATTATCTAAAAAATACAGGTTTTATTCGGAAAAACTTGGCAACTCTCGAATATTCATAAGGCGTTCTTCTTTAGCATGACAGCATGGGAAAATGAGTGAAATTTTCAATCAAAAATTTCTTGCCGTTTCCGAGTAAAACTGCGTTCTGCGAGTGAAAATTCTACTACATGTATAGATTTCGCACTCTTGGTCGTCACTTCAAAGCGGATGGCTACAGCCGAATTTGAAAAAAAAACTTGCCAAGTGAAGAACTTGTTCAATATTTAATAAGAGGATGACTGCGGAGTAATTGTCAAAAATTTTGCTGATTTCGCGTATAATTCGCCGTCATAATAAATTAGAAATGCGCCAATCTTTCCTGTTAAAAAGAGGGGCTTGAAGGCCATGGCAGTTTTAGACGCAACGGCACCTGCAAACCTAACAAGGATACTTCACGCATTGCGCAATACGTGAAGTATCCTACAAACCTGTTAGGTTTGTAGGCACCAATGCGCCTATCGCACTGGCAGCACGCCGCCGCGCCGCGCCATGACCCCTACAAACCTAAGTGGATACTTCAAGCATTGCGCAATGCGTGAAGTATCCCTGTTAGGTTTGTAGGCGCCAATGCGCGTATCGCGCTGGCAGCACGCCGCGCCACGGCCGCTTCGCTCTATGTTTAGCTCTGATTTTTAAACTCACGGAGTCAGCGTTTTTCAACCTTTGATTTTGAAATGTTTGCTCACTCTGCATGGATTATTCTCATTTCAATTGATGA